GTTCACGGTGGGCAGCAGTGCCCGCGCTGCGCTGGAGCGGTTCCTGCGCTGGCGGCACCAGGAGCTGCTGCCGCGGCTGCCCCACGACAACGCGCAGCTCCTGACGTGAGTGGGGCCAGGATGGGGATGGGGCTGGGGATGGGGATGGGGCTGGGGCTGGGGCTGGGGCGGGGGATGGGGTGTGCGGGCAGCCCCCCCACCCTCTGCACGCTCCCTACAGGGGCGCCCGCTTTGAGGACGTCGCGGTGGGGATGTCGGCTCAAGCCTCCATGTGCTCCCCGGCACGCTCCGGCGGCGTCAGCATGGTCGGTGCCCCCCTCCTCTGCTCCCCCCACTGCCACCAGCCTGCTCTGACCCCCCTGTCCCGCAGGACCACTCCATCAGCGTCCTCGTCGTCGCCTCCACTGTCGCCCATCAGCTGGGGCACAACCTGGGCCTGCGCCACGACAGCGCCGCGCGCTCCTGCACCTGCAGCGACCTCCGGCAGGACCGCGGCTGCATCATGGCCCTGCCCACGGGGTGAGGGCGGCAGCGGGGCTGCGGGGAGGGGGGACCGGGCCCGAGCCCCCTCCCCACCTCACCCGGCCCCCTCCCTCTCCGCAGGCTGACGCCCGGCTTGAGCTTCAGCAACTGCAGCCGGCAGGAGCTGGAGCAGAGCCTGCGCCGGGGCCGGGGCTGGTGCCTCTCCAACGTGCCCGAGCCGCGGCGCCTGGCTGGGAGCCCCCGCTGCGGGAACCGCTTCTTGGAGCCGGGCGAGGGCTGCGACTGCGGCCTCAGCCTGGTACAGGGAGGGGGGAACCGGGTGGGCTGGGGTCCCCCATGGCTGTGCCCCCGGCTCACCGCAGCCCCTGTGCCGGCAGGAATGCACCGATCCCTGCTGCAACAGCAGCACGTGCCAGCTCATGCCCGGCGCCGAGTGTGCCACGGGGGACGGCTGCTGCCAGGACTGCCGAGTGAGTGGGGACGGGCACTGCTGCCCACCGTGGGTTTGTAGGGGTCTCAGTGTGTTGTGTCCCCACCGCAGCTGCGCCGCGCCGGGCACCGGTGCCGGGAGCCACTGGGCGAGTGCGACCTGCCCGAGTTCTGCGATGGGGCCTCCCCGCACTGCCCACCCGACGCCTTCCTGCAGGACGGGCAGCCCTGCGCCGCGGCACGCGGGGTCTGCTTCGGCGGCGCCTGTGCCACCTACGAGGGGCAGTGCCAGCAGCTGCTGGGGACGGGTACGGCAGGGTCGGGACTGGGGGGGCACGGGCATGGTGGCGGTGCTGGGGTGCACTGACCCCCCCCTGCTGCAGGCGCCCGCCCCGTCTCCAGCTCCTGCATGGCTGCACTGAACATGAGAGGGGATGAACGCGGGCACTGCGGGCAGCTCCTGAACGGCTCCTACGTCCCCTGTGCCCAGCGGTGAGTGCTGCCCCCCCTCACTATCACAGAGCCCCAGCCCGGGCTGGATTGCAGGGACCTTAAAGCTCCTCCAGCTCCATCTCCCTTTCCACCCTCCCCTGCCCCTATGAACGCGGTCTCCACAGGGATGCTGGCTGTGGGATGCTGCAGTGCCAGCGCGGCAGCACCCGCCGGGACAGAGCAGAAGGGTCCTGCCAGGGGACGCTGGTACCCGGTGGTGAGGATGTGAGTGATGCAGCCATGGTGCTGCCCGGCACCGCCTGCGGCCCTGGCAAGGTGAGTACCGGGGTAGTGGGAGGGGGTACAGAGCCCTTGTGGGTGCTGATGCCTCGTCCCCCCAGATGTGCCTCCAGCGCCGGTGCCAGGACGTGTCCACGCTGGGTGACCAGCAGTGCCGGAGCAAGTGCCATGGGCACGGGGTGAGTGCGTGGGGCTGGGGGTCGGGTGCTGGATGTGGGGCCGGGCAGGGGCTGACCCTCAGTGCCCCCCACTCAGGTGTGCAACAACCTCGGGCACTGCCACTGTGACCGGGGCTGGGCCCCCCCAACCTGCGAGAGCCCCGGTGCCGGGGGCAGCCAGGACAGCGGCCCCATGGCCATGGAGCGAGGTGAGGGCAGGGCCTGGCGGGTGCCGCGGTGCAGAGAATGGGGCTTTGTGGTGCCGGGGGTGACGTGGTGCTCTCCGCAGGGGGGAGCGCGCTGCCCACGGCGCTGCTGCTGAGCGTGCTGCTGGTGCTGGCCCTGGCGCTGGGGCTGTGCTGCGCGCGCCGGGCCGGGCTGCACAAGCACCTCTGCCAGCTCGGCAAAGGCACCTCCTGCCAGTACAGGTAATGGGGTACCCGGGCGTCATGTGTGCATGCGTGTGCTGGGGCAGGTGCTGGAGCCGCCTACCTGCATGCGGGCATGCACACGCGTGTGGCGGGTAAGCGCGGCGCGTTGCATGTGCCTTTGCACATACGTGTGTGTCCCGTGGCGCCTGAGGGAGCGGTCTGCATGCGTGCGTGTCCCCGAGCAGGCAACGGGCTCTCTGCGTGCGTGTTCCCATGTGCGTCCCCCCAGCGCAGGTAGCACACCCCGTCCATGCATCGTCACCCCGTGTCACCGCGGTTCCTCCCTCCCGCTGTCCCCCTGGCCCCGGGCTGAGCCCCCCAATCTTCTCCCCACAGTGCTGAGACCCGGGTCCGATTCCTGGGTCCAGAAGCCGCAGACGGCTGGAGCGGGTAACGTCACTGCCGGAGCCTGGCGTGGGGCTGTCCCTGAGCCATCCTGCTTCGCAAGGCCTCCGGTGCTGAGATCCTCCCCTGGCAGTGCCCGTGGGGTGTGGGGCAGCCCTGGGGTGTGCGGGGTGTCGCATCTTCTGGCGCCGAGGGGTTCGTTTCTCTTGGGCTTCTGCTGGTGTCGGTGTCGCTTGGTTGCCATGTGGGGTTCCCTCAACCACCCACAGCAGGCGGGGCCTGATCCTGCCTCTTCCCTACAGGATCTCGCAGCCAGAGCCCCGGTCAGGCAGCCAGGGTCCCCCCGAGCGTCCCCGGCCCCCACAGTGGCGTCAGGCCACAGAGCTGCAGGTCATGCACAGCAGCAAGGTGAGGGATGGGGATCGGGGGGGGGGGGGGGATACCTTGCGAGGGTGATGCTGTCACCGTGGTAACCGGCTGCAGTTGCTGTGAGTACCGGGGTTCAGTCTGGTGGTTGCCAAGGTGGCATCCGTGGGTACCAGCTGGAGCATCCCTGGGTACCAGCCTGGAGCATCCCCTGTGCCAGGGCCCCGTGGCTTGAGTCTGTGGCGCCCCGGGACAGGAGCAGCCTGGCACAGCCTGGACTGCGCTGCTCCGATGCCAGTGTCACGCTTGGCACTGGCTGCAGTCCCCCCGGATCAGCACTGGGCACCCTGGGGCTGTTGGCACGGGGCTGAGCGGGGCCGGGGGGGGTCTGTGCTTGGCGGTGGGAGGGGGGTCTCCGCATGCTGCACGGCTTGCCCCGCTGTGGGGCTGCATGGCGCCTGCCCTCTCCCTCTCTCCGCAGCCGGGTGCCCTCGGCGCGGCGCGGCCCGATCCGCCCTCCCGGCCTCTGCCGCCGGACCCTCCGCCCAAGGTAACGCCCGGGCCGGGGGGGGGTCCCGGGCACTGCTGCATGCGTGGCTGCGCACCAGCTCTCGGGGACCCCCGGCGCCCCCCATGGCCGCCCCCCCTGAGCTGTGCCCTGCTCACTGTCCTGCTCTCTCTGCCCAGGCCCCCCCCTCGGACAGGCCGCCCCCCCCCACACGCCCACTGCCCGCAGACCCTGTAGGGCCAGGCACGCAGGTAACGGTGGTGGTGGCACCGGCGTGTGGGGCAGGACGGCGTGTGCCTGTCCAGGCTCCCCATGGGGCAAGGGAAGTGGTTTGTGCCCCCATGGAGGTGGGGTGGCCACTGCTGGAGCTTTGACACCCCCATTCCCCTGCAGCCCCCAGGTCTGGCCAAGCCCCCCCCACCTCGGCGGCCACTGCCTTCAGACCCCACAGGACCATCACTGCCCCACAGCGAGACCCTCCCCAGTCACCCCTATGTCACAGTGATTCCCTCCAGGTGAGCACAGGGGGGTCTGTGGCAGACAGAGCGGGGTGCTGAGGCTGGGGGGATTTGGGTGTTCTGTGAAGCCAAAGTGCAAGTTAAGGGGGATGCTATAGGGGGATGCACGGTGGGGCTGCAGCGCGGTGGGGCTCGGGGGGGGGGGGGTGGTGTCTGTGGGGCTCCGGTCCCCCCGTTACCTCCCTGTCTCTCCCCAGGCCGGCCCCCCCGCCGCCCGCGGGTGCCCAGCAGGATGTGTGAGCTGCTGGACGGGGCCTCGCCGCCCGCTCCTGCCCCATCGACGCCAATAAAGGGGCCGTTTGCTGCCCGTGCGCTGCCTCCGCGCTGCCTCCGCCGCACCGGGTGCTGGGGGGAGGGTGAGACCGGCGCCATCCCCAGTACCGGCCGCGGAACTACAACTCCCAGCAGCCCCTGAGGCGCCCCCCGGAAGTTGCCCCCCTCGCAGTGCGCTGCGCCCTCTGGCGGGCAACTTGCGCCCCCCCTACAGCGCCCCCCCTCCCCGCAAAGCCACGTGTGCACGGGCACGTGCAGGAGCCACCCCCCCAGCGCACGCGGGCACACGCGTGTGCAAGGAGCTGCTGGTCACGTGCGCGCGCACGTGTGCACGAGGCGCTACATGCGTGTGCAGGAGCTGCCCTCGTGTGAACGGAGCGGACCCCATTGCACACACACACAACGCACACGCACGCACACACACGCACAACGCACACACATGCTCACACAACGTACACACACAACGTACATGCACACACAATGCATACACACAACGCACACGCAGCGCACACAACACACACACAACGTACACATACGCACGCACACACACACACCCGCACACCCCACGGCCCGGGCCGGTACCGGTGTCCGGTGGGCGCGGGAGCTGCCGGTGCCCGTGATGGGCGGGGCGGCCCCCGGGGCCGGTGCATGTTCGCGGTCCCGGGATGGGGGTACCGGGGGCGCGGGTCCCGGTACCGGGCGGTGTTTCGGGGGGGGGGGGGTTACGGGGCTGCGGGTCCCGGTGCCGATGGGCGCGGGCCCGCCCGGGGGTCCCGGTGCCGCCCCCACAAGGGTTAATGGCGCTCGGCGAAAGTTGCCGGGCGGTGGCGCGGCGCGGATTGGCCCGAAGTTGCCGGGGCTGGGCCGGGCTCCGCCGTGCCGGGCCTCCTCCGCCCCCCGCCCGGCCCCGGCCCCGCCGCCCCCCGCCGCCGGCGGAGCCATGCGCCCCGCGCCGCTGCTCGGGCTCCTGCTCTGGGCGCCGCTGCTCTGGGCGCCGCCGGTGCGCAGCCCCCGCCACAGCGTCCACTGGAACGGCAGCAACCCCAGGTACCGCCCCCCCCGCCGCCGCCGCCACCGCCTTTGTGCGCCCCGAGCCCCGCGCCCCGCGCCCGCGCCGCCGGGGGAACGGGGAGCGGGGCGGAGCTGGCGGGCCCCGGTGAGCACCGACCGGTAGCGCCGAGCCCCTCACCCCGGGCATCCCCGCGTGATCCCGGCCCGGTGAGGTCCCTCCCGGTGGGGCAGCGAGCAGGTGAGTGCCCGCCGGTGGCACGGAGCCACGGGGCACCCCTGGGAGTGACCGGGCCGGTGGGTGCCGCCGGTGGTGTGGAGCCCTCGGGCATCCCCGCTGGCACCGAGCAGGGAGCGCTGCCGGTGGTGCTGAGCCCCGGGCAGCACCGAGTCACCTGGTCGGTGGCACCGAGCGATGGGGCACTGCTGGCAGCACTGAGCCCCGGTGGCACCGAGCTCTGGGTGTTTCACAGCCGGGTCCCCGGTGGGGCCGGTGCCGTGCAGCGCCTTGCCCTCGGTAGTACCGGGTTTTGGGCACCCTCAGGTGTCACTGGGCCTGGGGTCGCTCTGGGAGGTTCCACAGCGCTGCGGGTCCCCAGGGCCGGTGCCGGTGCGGTCTTTGTGTCCCCCCCATCCCCGGTGCTCCGCTGGCTCTGCCACCGCGATGGGCCGGGGTCCGGCCCCCTCCCTCCTCCCGCCTCCTCCATTTTGGGCATTTCGCAGCTCGGGAGCAGGGAGCCGGGGGCCTCGCTCCCCCACGGGGGTCTCGCAGGGCTGGGGCCGCTCCTGCTGTGCTACGAGCGGGTTCCCCCCACCCTTGGGTGCCGCGGGGAGGGGTGGGCTGGGGTTGCCGGGGGCCAGGGCCTCAGCCCTGCCCAGGCCCGTCCCGGCTGCATCGCCCGGCGATGGATGCTCTGAGTCACAGCAGCCTGCGCCTGGTGCTGCCCTCCCGGAGCCCCTGACCTGGGGGGTGATGGCGGCCGGACCCCCCCAGTGCAGCGTTGGTGCCCCAGTGCGGAATGCACCGGCCTCATTGCCTGGACCCTGGGTTTGGTGCATGGGCCTGCACCGGGGCGAAGGAGGGGGCAGGAACCCCCCCACCACCCCCTTCCTTGGTGCAATGGGGTGCTCCTGCCAGCCCGGTGCCAGCTTGGCAGCCCCATCCCCACCGTGTTGCTGCCAGCGAGGCCCGTGCGTGCCCGGGAGGTGGCTGGTTGGCAAAGGATGGGAATGGGGAGAAGCGCTCCTGTCCTGGAGCAGGACCAAGCGTGTGCACATGTGTGTGTACGTGTGTGTGTACATGTGTGCGCACATGTGTGTGCGTGTCTCTGTGTGTGTGTGCCTGCAGACATGTGTGCTCCATCCCGGCCTGGCCGCACGCGGTGTTTGCACAGGCATGAGCTCATGCTGCCACCGCCGCTGCCTGCGCAGGCACCGCACGGGGCCCCCTCCCTGCCTGCAGAGCCCCCATGCCCCTGCCAGCCCCACACCGGGGCACCAGGGCAGGAGGCCTCACACCGGGCGGCCCCATTGGGGTGTCAGCATCAATCAGTGCTGGTGCAATGAGGCCTGTGGCCAGGGGCTTTGTGCCCCCCCCCTCAGAGCACGTCCAGCTCCTGCAGCTGACCCAAGCTGATGCTTGGCTGTGCAGAGCCCCGTGGTTGCTAAAGGCCTGGCTGCCGGCTCTGCCCCGTTCCCTCCATGGGCACAGTGGGACCCCCAGCGCCCACTCCCCAGCTCACCCTGCTCGGCAGGTTCCTACGGGACGACTACAGCATCCAGGTGGCCATCAATGACTACCTGGACATCTACTGCCCGCACTACGAGGGGTCCGTGCCTGCCGGGCGGGCAGAGACCTTCACCCTCTTCATGGTGGACTGGGAGGGGTACCGCGGCTGCTACGAGACCCCCGGCGCCTTCAAGCGCTGGGAGTGCAACAAGCCCCAGGCACCCTTTGGGCCCGTCCGCTTCTCTGAGAAGATCCAGCGCTTCGCCCCCTTCCCGCTCGGCTTTGAGTTCCAGCCGGGGGAGACGTACTACTACATCTGTGAGTCGGGGTCCCACCGCGGCCCCGGGTGGGGATTGGGGCACACGGGTGGTCGGGGTGCAGCTGGGGTGGGGGGCAGAGGAGGGTCCGGCTGCGCCAGGGCTCTGGATGTAGCAGACGTTGGGGGGACTGAGGGGCAGAGATGGGGCAGAGGGTCTGGCTGCACCCCAGCGTCTGGATGTAACAGGGATTTGGGGTACACGGGGTGCGCGAGGGGGAAGATCTGGATCAACCGGGATTGAGGAGCTTGGGAGCATCCAGCTGCAGTGGGGTGCCAGAAGCAGCCGGAGCTGGGGTTGGGATGCATGGGGGGGAAGGATCGGGATCCAAGGTGGGGTCCAGATGCCAGAGGGGGCGGCCCCGCCGTCCGCCGGGAGGGGGAGCCCCAGCCCCGCTCTGGCCGGCCCGGCCGCCGGGGGTGTCCGGTCCCCGCCGGAGGGGCCGTAGCGGGGGGGGGACCCGCTGATGCGTCCGCTCTGCCCAGCCGTGCCCAGCCCCGAGAGCGCCGGGCGCTGCCTGAAGCTGCGCGTCTCCGTCTGCTGCAGAGGCACCAGTGAGTCCGGCTCGGGGGGGCTCCCCCTCCCCTGGTGCCCGCTGCGGGGTGCGGGGGCCCCGGGGGAGCCCCATTGACACCCCTGGGGTTTGTTTCAGCGCCGGAGCCGGTGACAGAGGTTCCCAATTCGCAGCCCCGCGGGCGCGGGGGCCCGGAGGGTGAGTGTGGGGCAGGCGGGGGGCCCGGGGGGGTCCGGCTCGCCTTGACCTGTGCTGCTGCTCCTGCCCCTGCAGACGCGGAGCCCGGCCACAGCATCGCAGCCCCGCTGCAGCCCCGCGCCCTGTGCCTGGCGCTGCCGTTCCTGGCCCTGCTCTGGATCTGACCCATGGCAGGGACGCGGGTCCTGTGCCCCACCGCCCGCTGCCAGACTCCTCCTCCATCGCCTCCCTTCTCCACCCAAGCCCGCCGGACTTCCACAGAGCCGAGCCGGGGCCAGGAGCTCCGGGCTGGAAGGTGAGGGGGGCTCCGGGGCTTGTCCCCCGCCTTGCTGCACCGCAGCAGCCCCTGACGAGAGCCTCTTGCCCTCCCAGGACCTCGCTTCCCCCCGGCATCACCGCGCATCGGCCCTGCCCGACCCCTGCCCCGGTGCCCGGCTCTGTGCGGCTCGGTGGACGCCTGCTCTGCCCCAGGGCCATCGACTCCTCTTGTGCCTTCTTCCCCCATGGACCCTCCACCGCAGGGGGGCTGGGGACCCCCCAGGGCCCTGGAGCAGAGCAGCAGCTCCTCCGGGTGCTGGATGGAGGCCCCTCTGCTGCCTTGTCCTCCGGCGAGGACACACCGATCTGTCTTCTGGGAAGACGCCTTCCTCCATGCCGTCACCGGCCCCTTCGGTTCGGTTTTAACCCCTGGTAGTGACTGAGCCGAGCAATAATACAGTGTTTGCAAGATCGCTGCGCCCTCGGGCTGTGCAGCCCCTGCTCCCCTCCTGCCCACATCCCCTGTCCCTCAGGGATGCTGGAGCTGGCGCTCTGGGATGCTGGAGCCTCTCTCCACAGCCTTTAAATGGGGGGGGGGGTTAATTACAGCGATTTGGTACTGAGCCTTGAGCTTATGTCGCAGGGACAACTTTAACTGCAAGCGAGCTGCCTGCAGCCAGCCCCTGGCAGCGGGACCTGGAGCCCAGGGCGAGGGGTGCTGGGGTTGGGGTGCCCAGGTCCCCGTTGCTGCCCTCAGCCCTGCCCATGCTGCCCGTGGGTCCATTGTCCTGTGCCCCACTGGGAGGGCTGCACCCAGCACCGAGGGGCTGTGGAAGGAGCCGATCCCGGGTCACGGCTCCGGGATGCAGCAGCAGCAGCAGCTCGTCCCCATGCGGGAGGACACCGGGGGGCACCGGCTCCTGTGCCCCCAACCCCACCGCTGCAGCCCCCCCCCCCCCTTGCGCTGCCCTCCTTGGGGGGCCCATGCGGGGCCCCGCAGCCCCGTCCCCGCTCGGGCAGGCGGTGCCGGCGCTGCCGCAGTGGGGCCGGGCACGTCAGACAGGTTTTATGGCTTCTCCGGAGGAACGGCTTGGCAAGAGGCTGAGCAACAGCATCGACCGCGCCGTGCCGCGCCCCTCCCCCGCCGCGCCGCCCGCCCCGCACCCATGGGGGGCTGTGGGGCTGGCCCCACCGTGGGGGGTGCAACGGGGGCCATGCTCTGGGGGTCCTGTGGGAGGCTGTGCCCAGTTGGGGGTGATACCAGCTTGGAGGGACCGTGCCCAAAGGACCCCTATGGAGGATGCTGGGGGCAGCCATGTCCTGAGGGGACGCCGGGTGGGGATGCTGGGATATGTCCCCCATGCTGGGGTGATGGGGCCCTATGGAACCCCCCTGCAGCAATACCGGGGTGATGGGGCCCTGTGGGACCCCCCTGCAGAGGTGCTGGGGGGCTGTGCCCTGTGGGGCCCACACACTGCTGGGGCTGCCCTTCTCCCCACCCCAGCCCCCTGGGGCATTCCTAGGCAAGGGCAAGGGGTCCCTGTGGGGACCCCAGGGTGGGTGCCGGGGCCCTGTCCTTGAGCGGGCGTTGCTTGGTATGCAGGAGCTGCTGCCGGCTTCAAATCCCATCGACTTCCAATGAGCAATGCCATCAATAAAAGCTAATTGATGGCACGGCCGCTCCAAATCAGATTCCCCATCCCCTGAATCGAGTTGATGGCTCCGCGCCCCGCAGCCAGCCGCGGCAGAAATTGAATCTATTAAAGGAAGAGGCTCCATTAGCCCGTCCCTTCTGTCTCGCAATCCCCCCAGTGCCAATTCCCCCCTTCCCAGCTCCCCATTGCCACCCATATGCCAGCTGGGACACTGGGGTGGGCACACGGGTCCCATGGGTGATGATTCCTGGGTGCCCTTGGCCATTGGGTCTGTGTCCCCCTGGGTGGGTGGGAATTAAACCCTCGGGAATTGGGAAGGGAAAATTGATCACCAGGAGCAGAGAAATGCTGTGGAATGGTGATGGGCAGCCCTGGGATGGAGAGAGGGACGAAGAGGTGTTGGACTGGGGAGGTGAGATGGAGGCATGGCCATGGCCAGCCCTGTGAGGATGGATTCAGGCACCGTGGCCATCGCAAGGGCAGCCCCAGGACACACAGGGTGGGACACGGGACCTGGTGACCCCCCCAAGGGCTGGAAGGGGCGGGGGGGTCCTGTCCCTACCCGTCTCCCATGGGTGCAGGGCGGCCGTTGCCATCCCCACCGAGAGCCGCCGAGAGCATCCTGGAGATGGGAAATGGCTCCGTGTCACCATGGAAACGGGGCCAGCGGCTCTCCATGCCGAGGGGACACGCCGAGACAAGGGGACACGTGTGCCGAGCCCCGGGGAGCGTGGCACCGGGCACGATGGAGCGGACACCGGGCACCGGGCACGGGCTCCCCTCACCCTGGGGTCCCAACACAGAGCCCACCACCTTCCAAGGGTGGTGAAGGTGCTCGGAGCGCGGTGGGATGTGGCCCCTGCGTGATGCCACCGCACGCAGGCGGCTCCGCACCACCAGACCGGTGCTCAGCACCGGTGCCCAGGGCTGGAGCTGCCTCTTCCCAAGCCTGATGGTTTGCATCGTTAAGGTTATGACTGAGCAGAGCGCTCGGCGGGGGCTTGGGGGGGAGCCAGGCTCGTTACCCAGAGCACGCACCCAGCCCTGCCTCGGCAATCAGGGAGCATGCACCGGCTGCACCGGCCACACCGGGCAAGGGCCATCAGTATCCCGCAGTGCTGGGTCAGAGCAGCGGCACCACCGGTCACCTCCATCAGCCCCATGGATGCTGCCAGCCCCACACTGGGTTTGCACACCTGGGGCAATGGGCGCAGGCAGACACTGCCTGAGACGGCTCCATCCCATGCTGGGGTGTCCATCCATTGACACGGCTCCATCCCATGGGGTGTCCATCCATTGACACGGCTCCATCCCATGCTGGGGAGTCCATCCATTGACACGGCTCCATCCCATGCTGGGGTGTCCATCCATGGACATGGATCCATCCCATGCTGGGGTGTCCATCCATTGACACGGCTCCATCCCATGGGGTGTCCATCCATTGACACGGCTCCATCCCATGCTGGGGTGTCCATCCATGGACATGGATCCATCCCATGCTGGGGTGTCCATCCATGGACACGGCTCCATCCCATGCTGAGGTTTCTGTCCATCCCTGCCTGCGCCCATCTCCCTGTGCCCCTGCACGTGCCGGGGTGCCAGCAGCAGCTCAGCAGGGCTGTGTCCCCCCATCAGCACCTCCCCAGCCTGCTTAATCCTGATGGACAATAATCCTGCTGTGCAGGGGTGGGATGGGAAGGAGCTGCCCTTGCAGCAACAGCGCGACTGAGCTGTGCTCACTGCATACTAAGGGCCCAGAGCCGTGTCCTGGGGTCCTGGTGCTGGGACCCTCTCTGGATCCAAGGGTTTCAATGGGGAAGTTCAGGTTGCAGATAAGGCAGAAGCTCTTCCCTGTGAGGGTGCTGAGGCGCTGGCACAGGGTGCCCAGAGGAGCTGTGCCTGCCCCATCCCTGGCAGTGCTCAAGGCCATCGCCTGCAGGAGCACAGGGACAACCCGGGGCAGGACACAGCATGGACCCACACCATTGTCCCCAGCCTGGCACCCCCCCATGTCACCCCCCTCCACCTCCCGGTCCCAGCGGCCACAGATGCTGATTGTGGTGTGATCTATGGACGGCGGGAGCAGGATATTGATGCTGCCTGTCACCCCTCAATCGGATTAACGTCACTTAGGCACCGGCAGCGGGCAGCTGCAGGGATGTGCCAGCAGGGCTGGAGCGGGGCTGGTGCAGGCTCCAGCACCACCACCCTGTACCAGAACCAGAGCCGGCTCTGACCGGGCAAGGGCAGGTCCCTTGGGGGCTGAGCTGTGCAGTGTCCCCATGCCCACTGTGCGCTCGGGTGCTCCTGTGGCTCAGTGCACAGTGCTTACGGCTCCCCATGGCACAGCCATCCAGGCCATCAGTCCCATGGTTGGCTTCTCCATCACCACCCTGCCCACCCCTGCCTGCTTGGGTCTGATGGGTGCTGGGCCAGTGCAGGGGACATGGGGTGGCCAGTGGGGAGCCACGTGCTGGTCCCGGCGGCTGCAGCCCCAGCTCCTTGCCCTTGTTCTTTCCCTATAGAGCCATGCTGCAGCCCCCTATAGAGCCCTGCCCGCATCAGGTGGTTCCCTCCCATCACAGCCCTCGAACCCATCCTGGCCATGGTTGTGCCAGAACAGGAGGTGCTGAGCAGGGGTAGCGAGGCCGGGGCTGCCACCAGTGGCTCACATTGGAGTGATCTTGAGGCCAGGAGGGAGGTTTTCCACAGGAGGAGACGAGAGGAGCCGGCTGAGTCACCCGGTGCTGGCTGCTGACTCAGTCACTGCCTGCCAGGTAGCCCCCACACCAGCACGGGATGCGGCAAAGGGGGCAACCGGGACCCTGGCACGCAGTGGGGCACTCACCGTGCCATGGGCTGGCAGGAGGTGATCGCAGCACCGTGCTGCTGGTGCCTGTGGGTTACCAGCTTGTGGCAGGGCCATGTGCCAGGGCGGCGTGGGAACCACGAGGAGCCGGATGCTGGCACTTCCCACCCGGCACCGCTGCGTGCCCAGGGATGTGGCATGGCCGAGCCGGGTTTCCGGCCCCCAGGCACCGGGCACCCAGGGCAGGGAGCCTGCGGCTTCCTCCCCGCCGGGCAGCAGGGGCAGCCCCAGTGCCATGAACCAGCCCTGGGAGGAAGCTGATTTCCTCCGCGCCAGCACCGCCACCCTGCTCCGTGCTGGCCACGAACCCTCCTCTGCTCCGCAGCAATCAGCTCTGCAGTGCTCATTAACGGCTCACCCCATGCCCACCTCCACCCCCAGCATGAAGCTGGACCCACAGCTCAATGGGGAGGTGGCCAGCAGCGCTGCCACCCATCCTCATCCCCCTGTGCCGCATCCTCACCCTGGATCTCG